AACTTTTTTGAATTCTAATATAAAAAGTCTTAATTAAAAAAAAAAAAAATCAACTTATAATAAATATATACAGTAAAAGTTAACTAAAATCTTGAGAGTATAAACATATATACATATTTTTTCTAGATATACTTCATAAATAATTTTAAACTGCTCATGTCTTGAGCTTAATATAATTATTTTTATTTGCTTAGGGAGGTATTTGAGTTGTTATCTGTTGTAATAAAGTTACTATGCTGACTATTGATTAGCATAAGTATACTTCATGTATACAATAGTAGCATAATAAATAATATACACAGAAAATTAATAATAGTAAGCGTCTGTATTTTATCACTTTGATTAGGCAGATAATTAACTAATACAATAGCATCCGAATTCCTTTTACAAAGATTTTAATAAGAAAAATAATTTTGATAGTATTGTAAGTTATAAATATAAATAAGGCAAGTACCTATAATTTTAAAAATATAAAAACAATTATCATATAATGACCTCTAAAGAAAAAAATAAATTGAAAAATTTGTTTGAGTTTTTATAAGATAAATTACAATTGTAATGTTATTTATTTTAAATAAAGAAACATTTATTCTAGTACATATGAATTCATAGTTACAATTTAATATTAATATATAGAGCAAGGACTTTCATGCAATCAAATATTTTTTCTGGTTTACTTTTTTGTATGCAGAGTAAGTACACAATACATTTCACAACGTTTGATACCAAAATCTTAAAGTTTTTAGTGTATATTTTGAAGGTTTTTCAAAAATCATGTTTTTCAGTGAATATTTTTAATGATCAAGGACACAAATTATTATATTTAACTGTTTCTATATTCTCATAAAGACAAAAGAGACTCATATCACAGTTGTGAATCTATACATTAGATTACAATAAAGTGATATCAAATTCAGTTAAAAATTATAAAAAGATAATATAAAATTATTAAAATTAAATATTTAAAGAAAAAATATATATTTTAATATATTAATTTTTTTTGATACATAAGTGCATATTTGATGATTTTTTAGTGCATGAAAGTCCTTGCTCTATTAATATATTATTTAACATCATATTAAAATGTTTAAGACATTTTTATTAGATACCTACAGTATTTATTTATATAAACAATAAGTATTTTTTAAATGTTTTACAGTTAAATAATAAAAATTGACACTCTTGCAACTGCTTATGTTATGCAATCAAGTATTATTTTCTAAATTTTCTGTTTCTGAATTTCTTCCTAAGGAAAGTAAGAATTAGTTGATTTACCATTATTAACAGTTTTAAGCAATGGAACTTGTTTGTGAACCATTATTAAATGAGATTTTAAAGTATCATTTTGTGCAAAACGTTTAAGACATAAGTGACATTGAAATTTTTTTGGCACACCACACTCATTGATTAAATGACGTTTGAGATTACGTTTTCTCCATAAGCCTTTATATTTGCGACCACACATATTTGGACAAATAGCTGGATCATTTATGGACAATTCATTTAATTGAGATAACCAATTGTGTCTTAATTCTAAAAATAACAAAAACTATTATAAATAAAATAATTTATATTAAACCAAAAATATAATGTATTAAAATCATTTTAAGATTGAAATTAATTCAGTCTTCATTGAATAGAATTATTGCTCATTTACATATTATAAACTTCATAATACATGCAATGTATAGCTATAAAAATAATGCAAAAAGCATAAGTAACTGCATTTGTTTAAGCCTTGAATTTGCCATTTTTACAAATGTTAATGTGTAAAAAAATACAAATATAGATGGGTAATAGGTAATCAATATAACATGTATTAAAATTACACAACCAAATTAAAATTACCAATAATTTTATACTCATAATTATTTAAAGATAGGTACATATATAAATATATAAAGTTATATTTTTAAATAAGTATATAATAATTAAACAATATCAAGCTTGATTGACCTTGTAATAGTTTTTTAAATACAATACAACAACACAAAATACTCCATTCTTAACTTAAAATAATGCAGGTAAAATAACCCAAAACAAGTTCTATAATATTTTACATAAAAAAAAAAAAGAAAAATAAGAAATAAAAATAGTTTTATAATTTAAAAACTATTCTGAATAATGATGAATGATAAGAGTGTATATATATTTAATTGTTTAACATTACCCATTATGTATTAAATTGAATTTTCTAAATGGAAATTAAATAATATAGAACATTTATAGATGTTTTAAGAGCCACTTATGCTGTAGGACCAATTAAAAAAATGCCATACCAGCATATAATTTTCTTCGTCTTACTAGGTACAATATAACAAATGTTTGCCATTTGTGTGTAGTAAACTTTAATAATAGATTGAATTGAATTATCATTTAACTTAAGCATAAGAACATTATCTGTTCTTAACACAATTTTTTATGATATTTTACTTTTTAAGTTACCTATGAATACATAGAGTACTATAACTTAAAAATTCTCACAACTTGATTAGACATTAAAATATTGTAAAAAAAACTCATATAAATACACAGATAATGTTCTTATGTTTAAGTTTGATACTGATTTTTGGGTAAATTTTATCTATTATTAAAGGTTATAACACAAAATTGGAATTGCTGAACACAACTTTGTTGTCATATGTTCTTAAGATAGGTACAATACATGTGGCCATGTGAGTTTGACATTCTCTTAACAAATGAGGAAAACAAAAAAAAGGAACAAAAACCTTTAGTAAAATATCCGTAACACAGTGATTGCATTTAATACTTATAAATACTACATTAATTGACTTAAATTAATAACACGGAATTTCAATTTGGTAGATATTAAAAAATAAAATAAAATATTTGATCAAAACTTGAAGTCATATTAATACAAACATTTATTAATTCAAAATAATTGTATATAAGCTTAACACCTGGAAATATTTGAAGATATTAATTATAAATTGCTTATATAATAATAATTTAAATTTAAAAATTATGTTTTTGTTATTTTTTAATTTGAATATATTTATATTTTTTTAATAATAACAGAATTATTCTTAAAAAAAAAGTGAAAAAATAGTTTGAACTTAAATATGTTAATTTAAGAAAATATTATGTTTATTATACATCAATATATTCTTTGTACATATATTATAATGTTTTTGGAGTGATACATTATAAGAAAACTTTTTAAGACATAATTCACAATTAAATTTCTTCGGTACACCACACTCGTAAATTAAATGTCTTTTGAGGTGAGCTTTTCTACTTATTCCTTTATATTTATGACCACATTTATTAGGGCAAATTGCAGGATCTGTTTCTGATAACATTTTCAATATATCTGAGTTCAGCCACTTGGAGTTAACTTCTGAAAAAAAAAAACAATCAACTAAATATTATGTTAAAAAGATAAAAAAAAAAAATTGGCAACATTACTAATTTTATTGATGTTAATTAGCAAAAACATAAGATTATGTTATTAAAAATATTATTTTCAATGTTATACTATTGAAACACCCCCATATAAAAATACATTAATAAAGAAATATTATGTTACAAAATGTCTATAAATAATTTTAATAACATAATGACAGCTAAAAATAATGTACATTTTATTAAATAAAATATTTTTACAAGTAATTTATATTATTTTAAGATAATTAATCAAAAAATAGTAAAAGAAAATAAAATAAAAATATATGATACCCAATAATTACAAAGAAGGTTAAAACATAAAGGACACATGACATTAAACTCATTTTAAAATATTTTTGTATAAGAAACACACTTCAAATAAAATAAAATAATACCCTTAAAAATATTATGACAAAAAGTCATTATTAATTATATTCCACAGAATACTATTAATAATAAAATAAGTATGAACAATTAAAAATAACAAATGCTGATTTTTTTTTTTTTTTTTATTACGGGTACATTTAATTATAAAGCATAACACATAAATTTAATTTAAAGTTGAGAAATTGATATATGTAATACTAGTAATGACAAAAAAAAAATTGTTTTACAAAAAAAAAATATTGTACTAAAATTAAAAACAAATATGTGTGAAATCATAAACATTTACTTCAAAACAAATACTTTTTAACATAGTCAATTTTATTTATAAAAAAAAAATGATTTAAAACATAAAATAATAATAATAATAATACATAATTTAAGTTCTAAATTAAACAAAGAAGCAAGGAACAGTTTTTGTTAGATGAGTCTACCATGATGGTCTTAAAAAAGAAAGCTCTAAAAATGTATCAAAGAATATTGTAAAATTGGTTTTTTTTATAAATTTCAAATTTAATAATATAAATACAAATTGTAAATATAATTTATATTGAAAATAAGAATATAGACTATGGAGTTTTATACTTTGAAAATTTCTTGTACCTATGTTTATAATGTAATTAGGCAGAGTCGTAATTGAATTATAAATTTGTTATCTCCATGTCCAGTAAAATATATAACTTGAGTATAGTAATATTATATTTTTATATGCTATTTTTTAGGTTGGATTAAGTCACAAAATGTATTTTACAATATATTTATATAAGTAGATGAATATATTTAAATATACTCAATAAATTAATGCGACCAGATAGTTCTTAAATGTGTTTAATAAAATTTTTTTATATTTATTGTGATTTTGCCTAACTTTACTTAATAGAGTTTCATAAAATATTGACCAGTTAGGGTACTGTATTAGCTGTTTGTTAACTATAATTAAACTGTTTTTAATGTTAGCGATCAGTACCATTTTATGATTAAATGTCTCTAAATGTATTTAAATGAATGCTCACATTTTTTATATTGAAAAAAACATTTATTTCATAATGTATGAATATAAAAATTTTGAATTTTACTTGTTAAAATTAAAATTAATATGGAAGTTTTTAAGTAAAATATAAATGTATTGAGTAATATTACTTAAGTATGTAATAAACAAAAATACTAAGTGATCTATAAAAAAAAAAAAAAAACTACAATATAGGTAAAGCATTTGTGTCTTGTCACGTTTTATGTATTATCACCATATGTTTTTTTCTATCTGAATTATGAGTAAAACGCTTCAAACATACATCACACTGAAATTGTGGTTGAACGCCACATTCGTATCTCAAATGTCGTTTAATGTTTTTAGTACGATATCTTCCTCTATAACTGCGTCCACACATATTTGGGCAAAACTCCATACCTTCACTATAAACCATGTCATCTAAAATGTTAAATAAATAAATATTATTAACATTATATTTATTTAATATTAAAAAATAATAATAATAATAATAATAAGATACAATCATAGAAGCAGCAAGGATATATAAATACATTAGATTCATTTAAAAAGTTAATAAAATAAACTAACTGAAGTTTAAAAAATGCTATCTTTATATAAAATATATTTACTTATAAATTTAAAATACAATTACAGTAAAGTTGTCAATTATTACAAGTTGTAAGTAAGTAGGTATCTTTAAAAAAAGTTATTAAAAATCAATTTAGCTATCAGTTATAATCAAAAAGAAAATACAATATTACATACAATCAAAAATACAATAATAAGATCAAAATGTTTATTATGTGAGTGGCTTCATTTTTAACTAAAGTTATAATATGCCAACAAATCAGTGGTAAATTATATCCCTATATCACCTCAAAACACATTTTTAGAAGTATAAATTGTATAAAAATAACCATTTATGTAATAATTCTTTCTATACTCGTTTTTAACTATATGCATAAATACTTGTGTACCTATTGCATATACTTATATAGAATAATAATAAGCCTATTCAACTTTCAATTTTTAATACATTATAAGCAATCATATTTAAAAAAACCTTTTCTTGGGGTAGGGAAGACTTTAAATGTGGCAGTGTTCATACAATAACTGAATTTAAACAGTTAAATAAATAAACACAATAATTTACAAAGTTTGCATACTTATCTATAAATAGTGATACTTTTAACAAACAAATTATTTTACTAAATATTATTGTACAATAAATTTACATAATATTATTCAAAGTAAAACTGTGAAAATCATAAATAAATTATGCAAATACTAAACTCTAAAAATTAAAAAAAATATTATCAAGCACATATACTGAATAGTGAATACTTATAACAGGAAGGGATTGAACTCACAAATACCCCTAAATATGTACTTAAACTGAAGTATAGAAGATATTTTTACTTTTGAAATAATAAAGGTGATTTTAGCCTATAAAATAAATTCTGATTTATTGACTCATACGTCCACTGACAATCCTCTATATTAAGTATAAACATTGTAGGTATGTAAAAATTACATATTTATCACTATTTAATCATAAAATATGTAGGTATATATGAATTATACTTCAATGTAATTTAATATATCATACTTCTATTTTTATTTTATAATTCTATTGTGTTCATTTGTTAATAATTGTAATTCTTGTTCACAAAGTTACCATCGATTAATGTAAATTTAAACATATTTGATTTGGTGAAATTGGTTATAACTTAACGGATATAAACAGAATTTTTATGATAATTACTGGTGAATTTAGTTCTAGATACTTCAATATGATATACATTAATTTTCTGTTTAATTATTGACACTTGCTAAAAAAAAAAAAAATACAACTAAATTGTAATTAAACTTAATCTTAAATTAAAATTATAACTTAGTTACATTTACATTAGGTAAAATTTTATGCACTGTTATCATATGCGTCTTGAGGTTTCCTTTTAAATGAAATTTCTTAAAACAAATATTACACTGAAATGTTGGTGCTTTTCCACATTCATATCTAAGATGATTAGTTAAAACAGTTTTTCTATACTTTCCAGAATATTTTCGTCCACATTGATTGGGACAATCTACTGGATCTTGTTTTGAAATTTCCTTTAACATTTTTGTCATTAATTCTGAAAACGATTGAAAGTAATATTTAAAAACATTATTATGTATTTTATAACACTATAACACACATTCAAGATAAATTTTCCATGACATGTTAAAAAAAATATACAAATAGTTTAATGTTAAGTATAAAAGCAATTAATTTAAAATATGACAATAAGCAAGTAAACAAACATTAATGTTAAAATATTCAAAAATAAGTTCATAAATTATGATGTAGTTTTGTAAGTTATAATAGGCATACAACACTACTAGTGTAGTTACATATCTATGAATTTACTATATTAAGTTTATACATCTAATAATTTTTTACAATAATGTGAGAGCAAGTTTTTAATAATGAACTAACACAGTAAAAATAACAAATATTCTTTTTAGATATACAATAAATAATAATTAATAAATATGGAGAATATTTATATTATTTATTTTTTTGTAGTTTGCTGTTACTTTCAATTTATTAAAAACACATGGTATTCGATTTATTATTATTATTTTAGAGAATTAAAAATTATCTCAATATTTAGGCTCTACAGTCATAATTGAATTATTCCATTTTTTTGGAAGTAAAGTAATTAAAATTAAAATTAAAGGAAAGTGTAGACTGTACAATTGTTTTCAATTAATAAACTAGCTGAAAATTCCATATCATAATTTTGTTTTGTTTACTTCATAGTCAATAACTCCAAAACACAACCTATAATATTTTATATCTTAAATGGTAAAATGTCAACTTGATAAGGTCATATAGGTTATAATATAAAATAGTAAACACTATACGGTTAAATTATATATATAATATACATAGTGTATTGAAATAATAATAAAATAGAAAATAATATTTTTAATCTAAATTATCATTAATTTATAATTTTATTATCCGCATTAAAATTGTTGAAAATAATAATGTACAATATTAAAATTATGTTTATTAATTTATTAGATATTTTAATTAAATTATTAAAATACATATATTTATTTAGTAGTAAAAATATACAGTTATATAGACATTTTACATTTTATTAGATATCTATTAAATAAGATTATATAAACTTCATTCAATATGTGAAAATCTAATAAAAAATTACAATTAATTTCATTTTATAATTTATAAATATTAGGTAAGTATATAATGCAATTTGATTTGTTATAATATAAAATAAATGGTTAGCAATCATTATATTTAAATAATTAAATACTTTCTAAAAATTCAGAATATACAATATATTTACATTTAACTAAGCTTATAAAAAAACAAAATATAATTTTAAGCTTAAATTAAAAAAATTTGGTTAAAAGATTTAAATACAAATTTATTTATATCAACAAAAAAATAGTATCAGTTTTGCAATACAATAGTTTAATGTATATTTATATATATATATATATATATATATATATATATATTTAGGATTTATATTTTGTATATCTTATATAATATGTTCTATCAAGTTAAAGTTAATATTAAGGTTATATAGAATATATAGCCATACATTAGCATTTTTTTTTTGTTTGGACTATGAACATAGTATATTTTTATTAATGATGACTGCAAAATACCATTTTAATAGATAAATCATACAAAGAATAATAATAATAATAATAATAATAATAAAAACTTAAAAAATATGATATAGATACACAAATAAGGGTAGAATTGACCCATTAATTATATCAATATGCATAGTAAACTAATAAATTTAAACAATAAAATTGATGAACTATTTTAAATATTAAATTAGTATGATAAATATTAACAATACAAATTTCATGAAATATAATTTATTTAAAATTTATAACATATTGTGTTATTATTACAAAATGAAAGTGAGTTTTTATTTTGAAATAGGAACTGGAAATTATGTAATCAATCTTTAAAATATACACCAACTTCAGACATTGATTTTTATTGAATAATACCATAAATAAGACCCATATGTCCTTTTAAATGTGCTTTATGAACAAAAGTTCTGTTAGGCAGTGTTAATATTTAAATTAACGCGGTACACCACATTTATTCTTATGATGAACTTTTAAATTTGATCTTTGACTTTTTCCCTTGTAACGATGATCACACATTGCTTTTGACAGATCAAATAATACTGACATTTCTAATCTATCTGAGCTTTTTACTGAAATAAAATAATAATAGATCATTTTAGTTATTAGATGGTAAAAAGTAAACAGAAAATGAAAAAAAATATATGAATTACATATATGTTAGTTTTTAAAAATTTTTAACAAAAAAATTTAATGTTTATCAAACATTGAAAACATTTCATTTTATTATGATATAACTTTATGCAATTATTTTAGTTCTATAAAAAGCTAATAAATATAAATTAATGTCAAATATATAAATATAGTGAGTATCTTCTATCACAATTATCAAGAATATATTTAATAATAGGTCATAACAAAAAAAAAAAAATAATAAAAAATAAAAAAAATTCATAATGATTTTAAATTATTTTAAACTATACTCTTAAGTATTCTAAAAATGTATAAAACTTGGAGAAAAATTCAAAATGCATTGATTGTTTAATCTTTTTTGTTTTCATTATAAATGGAAATAAATATCTGTTGGATTAATTAATATTCCCATTAGTTATACATTATATTATATTAAATTATATAATAAATATAATAAGTCAACAATAACAGGAAGTTCAATGTCAAACCATATTACAAGTATATTATTATATCTGATTATTATAAAGTGATATGCACTGTTTGTACATATTTTTAAAATTGTAATTAAACTGTAATTAGTAATTATACAACTTTTCTGTGATTCAATAAATATGAAATATAGTTCACCATCATTAAATTTCAATAGTATTTCATTATATTTGGTAATTTGTTTATAAACAAGACCATGTATAAAAAAGACAGTTAGTGTTATTATTAACAATATTTCTAATAACTCATAAAACATAAAAAAAAAATGAATAGATAATAAATACATTTATCTATGATTAAACAATTAAATATTTAATAGTTCAATAAATAATCTGACTTTATCTCCAAAATGATTATAATTCATAATCTCAACAATATTCATTCTTTAAAAATAATTACAAAACAAATTGCGAATGATTTTAATAAGAATGTATGAATTATAATTCACTGACAAAGATCGCAGGAAGTAGCTTAACCAAATAAAATTAATATAACTTATTTTATATTAAAATATTATAATAATAAAATTATCTTATAGTCTATGTAATTTAATACAGTTTTAATACTTATTAAAATATACAGATTTTAACCATTAAACTTGGTATTCAACTAAAATATAAATTTAAATAATTAATAAAAATATATTTAATTAAATAAATAAATAAATATGTATTATATACCTAGTATATCACACATTAAACACATTAGACAATTAAGATAAAGTAGGATGCTTAGTTATTAAATTTTTTTTTTTACATCTTTGAATAAAAAGTAAAAATAAGTATAAATATAATATTATTTAAAACAAACATTGATAATAAAACATTTTTATAAAAAAACCTTTTACTTGACAATTTTTTAAACGGTAACCCCGATTTCTTAATACTTTATGCTGAAGAGCACAATGATTATAAGCTTTTTATAGCACTATTATTTGAGAATTATACATTTAGACGAGCAGAATGCAGTAGAAGGGAATACTATAGGTTAGGTACAACACTTTTTAAACTTAAAATTATTATAAAAAAATCAATGTTTGCGTAACAATATTTAGACAAAAATATCTGCTACAAAATATAATTTAAAAAACGGTGCCCAATCATAATATTATACATTTTAAAATTAAAATGAAGATAGGAGCTCGTGGTGGATAAATTATTACATATTAAATAATTGTTGAGAGTGAAACTTGGTTAATTCCCAATAGCTTCCTGATTGTTCTTTAATTTTTAATAGACTTTATATTTAATCTATAAAGCTCTTAAAAAGAAGTTGTTAAGTATTTTTTCAATGTGAAAAAGTATTTACATAATAGATAATTTAAAAAGGCACACATAATTTATAAGACCAATACACTTCTAACTTCAATCAGACTTCAAAATATACATGAATATAAAATAGTTTTATAAATATATATTTAATTTTCAAATGACAAGTTTTCTCGTAAAATATATGTTAAAAATATTACCTGTATAACTGTACTTATTTTTATAAGTATTATTAGAATTTAGAACTATTTTTATAGAAGACAAAAATTATTTATATTATTATTTACTGTTTATTAAAAATGTTGTCTTAATTTATTTTTATAGGTACTTAATTTGTAACCTAATGAATTTTTATACTTATAAAACCATTTTTTTTTTCATAGATTCATTCTTATATAGATAGTTTAAATATCATTTAGTTTATAATCTTTTCCAATGACAATTTTGTGTTTGCATCCCATATGTGTCTTAAGAGTGCACTTGTGTTTAAATGTTCGATTACAAATATTACATTTGAACATGCACGGTAATCCACATTCATAAACCAAATGATTTCTAAGATTTGTTTTACGCCATTTTCCTTTATAACTTCGACCACAATTTCGTGGGCAATAAGCTGGGTCATTTTGAACAAACTCATTAATACGAGCCAGTAGTCCTAAAAACAAAAAATTACATTGTTTTAAAGAAAATTTTAAAAGATAAATTAAATCAAAAACCGGATCCATACAAAGCACTAAGGTAATAAGAATAATAATTCAAGTTAATTTGAGTGATGTGTAATATAATATAACATAGTTTAATATAATGTAATGAATTATAATTGTTTTAAAAATAAACTTTTATATTATTTATAAAATATTTCTTAGTACAAATTTAATTTTAAAACTGTGAAGTAGCTGGAATTTTGCAGTGAACAGACATAATATGCGTGTTCAAGTTAACTTTTTGGGCAAACATTTTTCCACATATGTTGCATTTAAATCGAGGAGGAACACCACATTCGTATTTTAAATGACGATTCATGGTAGCGCGATGATTATACGAACGTCCGC